AAAAGTTATAGACATTAATGCGTATTCCGGATGATTGATTCAAATTTAAACATAAGAAACCTATCATCTACTAAATAGATTCTTATTATTCTTATTTTTCGCGCCAGCTTATTGTTTTATGTATTGTACCGTGGATGGCCGAGTATTAAACTCTTTCTTCAGCTTATAACTTTTATTCCACTCGGTACAACTTTAACTACGGAACAGGAACAAACTAACTTCAAAGTTACCGTCAACTTCACTAACAATAACAATAACACACGGAAAACACGCGTTTCCGGCTCCCGGAGTTTAACTTCTTCTGCACTTGGTCGCTCCTGTCACTTCCACTCTCCTTGTCTGGTTCTCGTCGTCGCTTATATACTTTTCTCCAGGTATTCCAGATAGTTCTAGAAATCTCCAGAACAGGTGCGCAACTTCCCGCTTGTCAGTGTCATATTTGACAGTAAATGGGGCCCAAATGGGGCTCCCATTTACTGAAATACCATGAATTTCGATCCCCCATTCCAAACGTGAGTACCCCAGGCCATTTCCGTTACAGTATGTTAAAGTGAAATATTATTTTTTTTATATATATGTTAGTTTTAGTATTGTTATTATCATTGCCAAGTGCCAAAAATAAAAACCTTCTATTATTATTATTATTATTACTTACTTGTGGCTAAGTCGATATGTATTGGATTACCACCATTCTGCTAAGTTTGTTTGTTTTTTAAGTTTCACTTTAAGCATTGAGTTTCATATGAAACGGAATATATAAGATGAGTGAGTTGTGGGTGTAAAATCTGTAAACCAGATATGAATTGTACATCTAAGGTTAAATTATAACTTAAGTACAGCGATGTAAGTTCAATTAACCACCAAACCACAAATTTGAAAAATATGCATTTGTTCAGAGATAATTATTTGGACAGAACGGTTTGAAAACAAATTTCAAATGAGTGGTGGTTACTTAAATTTAAGACTTAGAAGATATAGTCTTTCTAAGGCATTTCAATGAATACAGCATCTGATAGTGGATTTGGAAAATACCTATGCATTCAAATTTTTTTCCGCTTTCTCCATTTTTTACATAGTAACATACTGGCTAGGGGTTTTTACTTTTCCTGTTACTTGATTGTACATTGTTATAGTAACATGGTGTGACGCATTAAGCTTTGGTTGCTATAGTAACAAATACTAATAGGATGCTATAGCAGTTATAAATAAGTGAAGTGGTACTTCTGTCTTAAGCGAAGCCGCCTTTAAGCAATGCAAAAAATGTTATAAATACGTTTTAAAATTTATTAAAATTATTAATTAAATTATTACGGTTAAGGGTAGTTATACCATTTTCTTATCCATTGTTACTAGCATTTGCTGATCTTCATAATCAATAAATGATGTGGAGGGTTACATTAAAATAAATTAAGTAGTACCTCTCAGTACTCATTCACAAACTACCTATGCAAAATCAAAAAATAGTTTTGTCTATGGAAAAGTTTCATGCGTTCACGGATACTGTATTTATACACAATCCCTATTTAAATATGGTTTAATTAGAACTAGGTATCTAGCTGGCATTAAAAAAAGCAATGAGTTCGCCTCCGATGATTAGAAGTAACGAAATGAAATTTTGAAAAAACCATCTATACCTACTGCTATTTACGACTCGAGAAATAATTTCACATTTTATCAAGTTATACCTTTTGGTACCTTTTGACAACGGATAAATATTTAGAAAAACCGAATTACTTGAATACTAACCGGCGAAAAAAACACAGGCTGTACCAAAAACTGTATCACTTTTTATATATAAAATTAAAATATACAACATACTTTTAATAAGCTTACACATTATATGTTACAGTTAAATCTTCACTTACCAGTTAGTTGTTGACAACCCTAATCCGGGATTATTTAATCAATGATAAACCTCCCTAAACAAGTTCATTTACACCACACACATACACCACCGACTGTTATTGTTTAAACTACCCGAAGTAACCTCTAAACGAAAGGAGCTCATTTATTCGTCAAAAACCCGACTATTTAAAAATATAATAAAAACAACAATAAATTCGTGACATTACTGGCACCCGACGATTTTGTTTTGAAGGAAGAGGCAGAGGCAAATTCTCTTAATTCGTTCTGATCCAACGAACTCTGACAGGGATATCGGGAGGGGGAACGGCCTAGTGGGAAGTGGGAAGGACAGTTTTGCCATCCAGAGGCGTGCTTCAAGGGACAGTTAACTGGTTATACGAGTATAAGTCAAATATTTATAAATCAACTCAGTTTTCATACAAGTAACCGTCAATTGAGAAGCAACTAAGCAATACGAATTGAATACAAAATACAGTAAAGTCCGCTTATAATGAACCCGGTTATAGTGAACTTTCGGTTAAAACAAACTTTTCTCCTTGAATTGAAACGTCATCCATAAAGGCCATTTGCCAGATTTCTAAGGAATTAGCACTTGGCAAGTCTACTGTTGCATCAATATGGAAAAACAGAGAAAACATTTTATCAGCGTATGACAAAACAAATGTTAGATGTAAGAAGTTAAAATTATCTGCACATGAAGAGGTTGACAGGGGACTTATTAAGTGGTTTACTCAAAAAAGAGAAGAAAACGTTTCCATAAGTCGCAGTGTTTTGCAAGAAAAGGTTAGTGAAATGGGGAGTAAAATCAAAAACAAAGAGTTTGTTTGTTCTAGAAGTTGGGTAGAGCGTTTCAAGAAGAGGCATAATATCAGTAGCGGAAAAAATTGTTGGAGAGTCTGCCGGTGTGAACATGAATGTGGTCAATGATTGGTTGCATAATGTATGGCCCATCATCCGAGACAGTTATGAGTACCTACAAAGATATTTTTAATGCTGACGAAATGGGTCTATTTTATAAACTAACGCCCGACACAACACTAAAATTTGTCGGTGAAAAATATGCTGGGTGCAAGTTATCTAAAGTACGCCTTACAGTTTTGGAGGCGGCAATCATGCCGGGAACAGAAAAAAGAAAGTTATTGGTGATAGGAAAGTCAGCTCATCCTAGATGTTTCAAAAACAAAATTTTGCCAGTAAACTACAAAGCAAACAGCAAAGCTTGGATGACATCGGATATTTTCAGAACTGAATTGCTTCAATGGGATGAGAAACTAAAACTTAAAAGCAGAAAAATTGTGCTTCTAGTCGACAACTAGCGCACCCTGATGTTAAATTAAAACAAATCAAGTTGGTTTTTATGTCACCGAACACAAGTACAAAGTTCCAACCTATGGATCAAGGAGAAATACATTCGCTAAAATGTCATTATAGGAAAATTCTTCTTATGAAAATGTTAGAGGCGATTAGATATAAATGAAGCATTTTCTATAAATCTCTTAGATCCAGTCAGTTTCCTTCATAGAGCTTGGCAAAAAATTAGCCGGAAAACCATTGCAATTGCTTTAAGCATGGTGGATTTGTAAGAAAAGAAAATGATTATGAACCAGACGATGAAATTCCACTTAACGAATGGTTAGAAAAGCATAGTAAGCAGAGCAAAGGCTCTGACTACGAGTATGACTCAGATGAAGATGTGCACAATTTTGTCGAAGAACAAGTTAAAACCAAATTGAGTGATTTCAATTTCTTCGAATATGTGAGCA